CCACTGCCGGCTCGCTTACGAGTGCATCGGCGGCAAGGCCTACATCGACCCCTGTCTGGAGGGGAACACTTGCTCCGATGATAAGCTCTTTGGCGGCGGAGCTTGTCTGCCCTACAACTTCACTCTGGTTAAGTCTAACAAGTGTGACTGCAGCCAGCTCGGACTTGCCCCGGATAGTTACAACTCTACGTACTATTTGTACTGCGACCCCAACTCTGCTCCCGACGTGGTGGAAGTTTACTCGTGCGAAGAAGGGAAAACTTTCAGCAACGTGACCAACGACTGTGAGGAAGCTGCTTGCAGCAATGAGCCTGTCGTACCGGCGTGCAACGGACAGACCGGCACGTTCGTCAACCCCAACCAATGCAGCTGGTATTACACCTGCCTGCCAGACGGCTCGAGCAGATCCTCCTGCTGCAGTGAACCAGGGCAGTACTTCAACGAGGCGAGCCTAGCGTGCGAGGACGCCTGCGTCCTCGCCAACAACACTGCCCCGGCCAGCCCCTGCACCGGCAAGGAGGGCAAGTTCCCGGACCTCTCCGACTGCACCAAGTTCGTGTACTGCGACACCTCGAACACCCCGATCACGACGCAGTCGTGTCCTTCCGGCACGTACTTCGAAGGAGGAAGCTGCGTCCCCGGCGAGTGCACGAACCCGATGGATTTCTCGAACTGCCCCGGCTTCGCTGCGCTCAACTGCTGAGGGAACCGACCCCCTGATCTCGACTCCGGGCAATGGCAAATTTTACTCTTTCATGTTAAACAGCACGATGCTTTTGTGATTGTAACATTCGAATGGTTTTTACCCCTTGTAATAAAGCAGTGATTGACTATTTGTTCCTTGCATTCCCTGCGGGCATTTCTGCTCTAAAATGTATACACCAATACAAATGGCGGACAAGAGCAAATTCACAAGCAAAAAGGATATGCACAAATCTCTCTTTGTTTCACTCTCACTGCAACTGGATTTCTTGGTAGAAGGCCAGAAGGCATCTAAGCGGACTGTCTACGAACTATTTTAAGCAACAGCCCGTTATAGAGCATTGAGGAAAGAAAGGAACAAAGAAGAAATGTGTACACGTAGCCATACCTACCTATGTACAATATATATAATGTATATATATATATATATATATATATATATATATATACGCATATAAATATAAACACACATATATATATACATACAAATATACATATATATACACTTATATGTGTGTGTTATGTATATGTATATATATGCATACATATATCTATCTATCTATATAAATATATGTATGCATACACACACATATACATATATATGTATATGTATATATATATATATATATATATATATATATATATATATATATTAGAGAGAGAGAGAGAGAGAGAGAGAGAGAGAGAGAGAGAGAGAGAGAGACATACATACATATATACACACATACAAACACATATACACACATACAAACACATACACACACTCATATATGCATGCACACACATACACACATATATATGTGCGTTTGCGTGTATTCATTACTCTCTCTCTCTCTCTCTCACACACACACACACACACACACACACACACACACACACATCAATATCAATAAAATAGCAGCACAGGATGTTATGAGTGTAACTGCAAGGTCAAATGAGTTTACTTTCAATGACTATTCCCGCATTTTTTTCAGGAACAGGATTGTTCCTTTTAAAATAATTTCCAAGTAATTCTGGAAGTCAGTTTCTTTGATCAACACTTAAGTACTCAATCCACCATATTATGACGAAAGCGAAAAATCGGGAAAAAAAGGAAAAAAAAAAGAAAAAAAAAAAAAGAAAGTTTACAGTAACCTTAAGCAGCGTCATGTTTCACGTGGATCCTATAAGGTAACAACTGATGAGGCATTTACGGTGATTCAATGCTTTTAAATGCCTTTTAAAACCTTAGAAATTCCTTATGAAATCCGAAAGTCCCTGATAAATTCGTCTGGAAATCCGGATTTTTTTTTTTTTTTTTTGGGGGAGGGGGGGTGATTTTGAAAATCCCGTAAATCTCGCTAGCTATTGAGGGATTGCAATTGCCCCTCGTAGGCCACAACCCCTCCCTGCAAACGACTCGAACCAGGCCACTCCAGGTGTGACCCAGAACGAGCTGTTAGCAGTAGTAAACAGCCTAACCACAGAACCTTACAACCTGTCGTGGGATTCCAGCCAACGTAAATGTGTGGAAAAGAATTGTGATAATTACCTACAACCCAATTTCTCAGCACTATAATATTTAATCAAATGTGGCCAAGTCACATGTACTTACCTTATGTTGACTAAAGATAAAACTGCAAATATATTTTAAAAAAGGAGAATATATGTTAACAAGTCTTAAAATACGCACATTTTTATATATGGGATATGAAAATATTAAAAGGTCGTGGAAATTGCAAAAGACTATAATTCAAATATGTGATTTATTCACTGTAGAATACAATGTATATGATTAAATATAACGATTATAATAGCGATACATACAATAGTCGTTTTTTGAAGACTCGCATATGGTCCCCCTGTCATCCTCACCTTCGAGTAGACCTACCTTGCCAAAATTACGACCTTGATGCCATTTAATATAATTTACTGCTGGGAAAAGAAACGTATGGTATAGCTGAAGAATGGGGACTGTACTCATAGATTCAGGAAACTATGTGTAACTGATGCACAATAGCTAAATAATAATAATAATAATAATAAATAAATAATAATAATAATGAACGCACATTTTAGAATAGTCCCCCCTCATTTATCCTCGTTTTCTTACATCAGTTTTCTATCACCGTTTTCTACAGCATCCACCATACAGGCTTCGATTATACAACAAAACCGACCACGAACTGTCCGACAGCATTCCCACTGATCTTGCATACTGTCACACTTGCACGTGTCTCTTGCAACTTGCCTACTGTTGTATCCTTCCTCCCTTTAAATTGATAAAATTTTCATCAATCTACCTAGGTGTCTTGTCTTTTTATAGTGTATTAGGCGATACCGAAACAGTGGTTGTCATAAAAAAATAATAAATAAATAAAATAAAATAAAATAAAAATTAAAATAAAATAAATAAATAAATAAATAAACTATAGCCAACACATATACGCGTGAACGAGCTTGTTAATAATCTCTCTCTGAACTACCCAAGTTTCTGTCCCGTGGGAAACCTTTCATTTATTTAATTGTGATTTTTATTTAATTACGAATAAAGGAGAAAAAATATAAATATATCCTGTGAATTCCGAGGATAATAGACAATGAAGCAAGTGAGGACAGGTGAAGGAAATAAAGGATGGAGGGAGGACAGAATGAGTAGAAAAGAAAGAAGGAAATGATGAAACTGAGGAAATGGGAGAGAACGAAGGAAATGGAATTGAGGAATCGAGAGAGAAAGAAAGAAATGAAGTTGAGGAACTGAAAGAAATGAAGGGAAAAAAGTTAAGAAGAGAGAGATGAAGAACAGGGAGAAGGAAGGACAAGGGAAGGAGGAAGAGACAAAGAAAATGAACAAAGAGAACAGAACAAGAAAAAAGAAAAGAAATGAAGGAAGGAAATTGAGAAAGTGGAGAGAAAAAGGACCGGATGATGGAAGAAGGGAAATGAAACGAATGAGGAAGAAGGAAAAACGATAAGAAGAAAGTGAAGAAGATATAAAAGAAATAAAGAAGAAGAGGACGAAAGAGTGAAGGAAGAGTAAAAAAAAAAAAAAAAGGAAGGGAGAAATATGGAAATAGAATAAGGAAGATGAGGAAAGAAAAAAAGTGAGAAAGAAAGGAAAGGGAAGAAAGGCGGAAAGAAAGAAGGGACGTAGGGGAATAAAGGAAGGAAGAAGGGGGATGAAAGAAAGGGAAAAAGAGAGTACAAAGGGAAGAAAGATAGATATACAAGAGGAAATAAACATATGCATGCACACATACACATACATACATGTATACACATCCGTGTGTCTACATGTTTGTATTATGCATGTATGCGTATATGTAGCTATGTATGTGTATGCGTGTGTATAAGGAGATTTTCAGCAAAAACAAGCGCATACTTTCGCCACTGATAAAGGGTGCACACGCGCGTGCAACTACGCTTCCCAAACTACGAGCGCCCACGAGCGAGCGTCCCCAACCTCTTGTATTCTTCTTCACTAGCAAACACCCTGTACCCGTAGGCCCAGAGGACGTCCTCGCACTCCTTCTGTATCGCCAGCATGTCCCGGTAGCCCAGCTGCTTCTGCCAGCGGTCCGGCATCTCCGACGAGTTTCTGCTGATGGTGAACGGCTGCTGGAGCTCCCAGGCTTCGTCCAAGCCGGAGGTGAGCCTGAACAGGACTTTGGCGACGGAGGCGGTGAAGGGGAGGCCCGCGAACTCGAAAAGCCGTCGCACCTCCTCCTCCGGCTGGAGAGCGAGGTCCTCGTACCGCACCAGCAGGTATCTGTGCGTGGAGAGACGGCGCACGAGGTGGGTCAGAGACGGAGCGAATCATGTGAACGTAAAAACCGGCGCAAGCCATAAGAAAATGATGTCAGTCATGGCTGACCGGAAACATGGCATATAGTCTGAAGTTGGATGTACAGACCCGGTCTGAATTCATGAGAGCGAATACGCAAACCCCATTATTATTATTTTTACTTCATTCAAGTATAAGCGAATGTATCCTCATTTTCTCTTATTTCATCGAGTGTGTGGCAGCGGTCTGAAGCCCACTTCGAAATAGTTTCGAAACAGAATCCTTGAAAGAAGGTCTCTCAACGCAGAATGGGCCTACCTGTCCGGGAACCGTCGCAGAAGCGTGGGAACGGCGTCCAAGTCCTGCCTGTACCTTTCACACGCCGGCGATGCGTTCGTCTCCTCCTCGTAGAAGTAGCCCGGCGGGAAGCCTCTTCTGGAGGCAATGGCAGCTCGGGGGTCGCGCACCAGGTGGATCACCCGCACGTCGAGGGAGTCGTCCTCCAGCAGCGGCACGGCCACGCGCAGAACCGCGCTCACCACACGCACCACCCCGACCCGCGAGGCGCGACAGAAGGTCTCGAAGGTGGCGGGCGAAAAGCAGAACTTTTTATCCAGTTCACAGAGAGATCTAATCCTCAGGTCTTGCGGATGCATCCTGATGTGCTCCTTGAAGTACTCCGGTCGGTGGGCGAAGCGGCAGTGTAGGATGTCCTTGAGCAAAAGCGCGGAGGCGTTGACGCCCTTCGGCAGAGTAGCATTGTGAGCTCGTATCGGTTCCTCCGAGTAGAAGGTGGAGAGCCCCGTCGTCAGGATGCTGCCGGTGAAGGTGGAGCCGGAGCGCACCTGCGTCCAGAGGAGGACGTGCCGCTGCGGCGTCCGCGCCCCCGCCGTCCGTTGGCGCTGCTGGGGTCCGGGGACGAAGAAGTGCCGCCGGGCGAGGTGGCGAAGGACCAGAGCCAACGACGAAGTGAACGCGGCCACCGCACAGACGCAAAGAACGAACCTCTTCCTCGGCTTCAGCGTGTACAGCATGTCGGGTCGGTCGAGCGGTCGCCGTCTCCAGAGCGGAGGCGAGCTGCACCGGCCGATGCGCGCGGGAGCTATTTTTAAGCGACTATATTAAACTAAAGACAGGAAAAGGCGGGAGTATTTTGAGGCACGGACTACGCCTTCTCCAGAAGAGCATACCACGTCTGATATAGATTTGACATTATTTGCACTGAGATGTCTCTCTCCGAGCCGAAAGTGCTAATTTCGACTTTGTATTTATAGGCCTATCCATCTTAAGTCTAAAGAAGTATTTATAATGTATATGTATATATATATAAATACACACACACACGCACACGCACACACACACACACGCGCACACACACACACATTATATATACATATACATATACATATATAATATACATATATATATATATGTATAAATGTATCTATACATTTATTATATATATATATATATATATATATATATATATATATATATATATATATATATATGTATAAAGATAATCCCTGACTCACTTCCGATGGACGTACAGGGACAAGTCCACAAGTTGCATTTGAAGCCATGAAGTGACCAGCAATCAGTGCCTCATCTTCTTGGAGAGGTTTGCTCTTCAAAAGTGACCATGAACGGAAAGATGTGAAAATCAGATGGTACAAAGTCAAAAGAATAAGGGGTAATTGTTACTGAGAGCGACGCACCCTCCCAGAGACTAAGGAAAAAGAAGGGAAAAAATGATGTTTTTCTGCAGGAAATCCTATGATTTCATCGATTTTCGGCGTTGTTTCTTCTGCGAATGAATCGTTCAGGAGATCGAGTACCATTTCTCCATGAACGATCTCGATTTGACAGTCCCGTTAGCAGGGGAGGGCATGAAGTGTATCAGGGAAATTATGGAGTAAAAAACAGGCTTAAATAAGAAGAATAAAGATTTTTAAAAATGCGTAAAACTACCACAAAAAACGCTTAAAATCGGCCAGTGAAACTCTACGGATGTAACCGCCATCTTTGAAATTCTACGGGCTAACGCGCCAGAAATAAAAAAAACTCTACGGGCCTCTGAAGTAGTTTTTTGTGATTCTCAAGGCGCTCTTCGGACACTTAGTTCCTTCAAAACAGATGGTGATGAGGGAATTGTGAACTGCATTAAGCGTAACGTACCTTATGCAAGAGAGCGCAATTTTAACATTCAATTTGTATGGATACCATCTCATGTTGGTATACGCAAGCACGGCCATGTAGACAAATTGGCGAACGAGGCTTGTAGCAAAGATATTGTAAATATAGATCTTGGGATACCTCTTGCTAGGGTTGCACATATATTAAAAAGTTCTCATAATGAAGAACTGATAGATCTGACGAGTTCACAAAGGCCTGAAAGCTGTAGTATAAGGCACTACAATCAGTATAGAGATGGTAAACCCTCCTATGGGTGGCACCGAAGTAAAACCAGACAATGCGACGTGGTTATTGCCAGAATACGTTTAGGTTTTAGAATGTACTGGCAACTGCAAGGTGCAATAAGTACAGATGAATCTAGATGTAGACTGTGTAACGAGTTAAATAAGCGAATGCTTGAGCATTAGATCTCGGAGTGTCGTGTGATACAGCCTTTCAGACCACCTAACATGAGGTATAAAGAACAAGAACAATGTGATTATTTTATAGCATCTGATACCTTGGAAGATATACTCATGCTATATCCTAATTTTACTATGTAAAACCATCATAATCATAGAACACACCACAGAACACTGTTATGTAAACATAAAGGCAAAGGTAGATCAACTTAGGTAATATACGTTTGCATGCTGTATGACATATTCCCATTTTACCATGTATAATTACTGTAATCACAGAATACTGTACTCTGTTGATGTATGTGAATATACGTAACACTCTGTAATCACGAATGCCCATGCCTGAACAGTTAGCCAGGGTGATAAATAAACTTAACTCTACAGGCACCAACCCACGTTTCGGCAACTCTATGGTAATTCACAAGTTCCAACCCCTACGGTTTCCAACCCCCCTACCACCAAAACAAGTTCCAACTCCCCTACCCCACCCTCAAAAACAAGTTCCAACCCCCCTACCCACCTCAAAAAAAGTTCCACCCCCCCACCCTCAAAACAAGTTCCAACCCCCCTACCCCACCCTCAAAACAAGTTCCAACCCCCTACCCCACCCTCAAAAACAAGTTCCAACCCCCTACCCCCCTCAAAACAAGTTCCAACCCCCTACCCACCTCAAAAACAAGTTCCCCCCCCTACCCACCCTCAAAAACAAGTTCCAACCCCCCTACCCCACCCTCAAAAACAAGTTCCAACCCCCCTACCCCCCTCAAAAACAAGTTCCAACCCCCCTACCCCACCCTCAAAAAGTTCCAAGGTTCCAACCCCCCCCACCCAAAACAAGTTCCAACCCCTACCCCACCCTCAAAAACAAGTTCCAACCCCCTACCCCACCCTCAAAAACAAGTTCCAAGTTCTGTTCCACCCCCCTACCCACTCAAAAACAAGTTCCAACCCCCCCTAAAAACAAGTTCCACCCCCCTACCACCTCAAAAACGTATTGACCAGTAAACCAATCTAATATCTCAATATAAATTGCCGTGACTAGGCGTGCCCGAGGGGAGGGTTGAAACGCATATCTTACTTGTAGGTAAGGCCTCTGCATCTTTATACTATATCATATTCCACTCTATTTCTTCCGCTCTACAAGATGTCTGGTCAATATGCATAACAGGTTAGGGGCTTACTTTCGAACTAATTTTGATATTTTTCTCGGTATGTACGGCAAGATAGAGCTACATCCATACTGTAAACAATAAACCAAATACCTTTATATATCAAAAGACCGAACTGTCAATTTTCCTCTGCTTCTTTCGGTCGGTCTATTGTGGATCGTGGATCGCTGCGTTTTTATCGCTTTTTTTCGGGATTTGGGGTACTTGGTGGCCTCAGAAATCGAACTGCGATAGTTATTAAGGTCTTCTGCTTCTTTGTTGCCACTGCATAGTCTTAAGAATAACCTAGAATCGACGTTACACCGAAAACAAAACATTTCTTACCGGCTCTCTGTCACCGACTACCCGCGAATCCATCTGTCAAAACTGGCGGCGAGAAACGCGAGAATACGCATGCGCAGAAGGTCCTTCAGACTGATTCCCGTTAAAATCTGTACAACCAATCTTAAAACACGCGAATGAGGAATAAAAAACCTTAATAAAGGTCTTTGAAAGCATAAATATGGAACGGCAAGGGGGGGGGGGTGTCCTCGCTGACTAATTTCCTAAGGGCGGGAGGGGGGGGAGGGATGCAGGGAGAAAGCGAGTTAATGAAGCTCCATTTGGGGGGGGGGGGGTTGCACGATGTCTATAGCAACCTGTAGATGTCGAAATAAAATAAATACCACTTAAACATCTATAAAAAATTGTAATTATATGAAAGACGAGCCAAAATTTATGTCATGGCAACAATAGAAAGGCCGTATAATAATAAAAAAAAAAAAAAGCCAAACCTTGTCCGACGAACACCGAATGAAACACCGCTCAAGTAAACAAACGCAACTCACAATGCCTACAAACCCGATATCCGATACACAAATTTTTCACAAATATAAAATGTTATGCTAACCAAAATAACGAACACAGAAAATATCTAATTAATTCCCACCCCTCCGCTTATTCGCACGACGTCAATTTATTTTAAAAATTATTAAACAATATACAACTCATACCGTCACTCTACAGACGAGATGCGGCGTGGAGGAACTAATGATATCTTTTATTCTCCGCCGGATACAACATTTATAATATGTGCTTGGCAAAGTACCCGGCGAAGTGAAATTGCATCTAACTTTTCTATTATCAATTTGGGGGGGGGGTTGTCGCATCTACGTGAATATATATTATAAAATCGTCAGCCGTCATTGCATTTGGGGCATTTAAAGGCTACGGATATGAGGGCATGCGACCGGCATATTCCTCCACGAATTGCCAGTACCTAACATAAAAAAAAAATATTTTTGAATAACACAATTTATCCACTATGATAAAAGATACACTATTTTTTCCAATTGCCTTTAAAATACATATAAATATAAAACAAACATTGAAACAATTATCTTTAACTTTCCACATGTCACACTGCACACAAAAATTGCTAGGTCTTTACACGTCAAGAGCTTACCGGAAAGTGTTCAAGTAATGAACATTTTTTTTCCGACATGGGAGGCAATTAAGGTAAAGAGGCAGTAACGTTGTTACATTGTTAACAGTGAATCTACGTTATGATAGCGAAATTATAAATCATAAAACATGTACATTTCAAAGAACAATACTTAAAATGTATAAGCATAAAAGGAAGAGAGGAAATGTTAGTAGAAATAGGATTAAATAATGGATTAAAACATTAGTAATCGGTAATGCTTGAAAGTAGGTTGAAAGTAGTGCAAAGAAAACGTGACAATCATAGAAAACGCAGTTATAGAAAATAGATTAACAGAAAATAAGAC